AATCGTTGCAATTGCTGACAAAATTTCTCCGATTTATCCTCGGCACGTTCGACAGTACCGATACGTAGCTACGAATGAAAACAAGCACATTGTGAAATTTATATTTGATCCGATTCGACGCGAAGATGCATTTTCTCTTTCTGTTTTGTCTTTTTAAATCGTGCACGATAAAAGTCCGCGATACAATTTATCGTTAGTCGCGCGTTACGTCGCGTAATAAGTTAATGTTATTTCGAATGTTCTATTGCATATGCTATACTGTGACGATGTAAGCGGAGTGTACCGGGAAATGTGTTTACTTAAAGGATAACGAGAAAACAAGCACATTGTGAAATTTATATTTGATCCGATTCGACGCGAAGATGCATTTTCTCTTTTTGTTTTGTCTTTTTAAATCGTGCACGATAAAAGTCTGCGATACAATTTATCGTTAGTCGCGCGTTACGTCGCGTAATAAGTTAATGTTATTTCGAATGTTCTATTGCATATGCTGTGTACACGCACATATTCACCGTGCGACAGCGATACGTTAAGGAAAAGGTTTCTAACTTTGTTTTTTTTTTTCTTTTGGGGTGGGGAGGGAATCCCGTTTGCACGTGTATTCGCGTTAGCGAATTTATTCGATAGTTACCTTATCTTTAACGGAAAGAAAAAGAAGATGAAAATCACCTAATCCATTACCTACATTTATCAATAGACGGTGTAATTTCGTAGGCTTACATTACAAATAGATCACCGTGATGGTGTGTGTGTGTGGTAGTCAGATTCCTGAAAGAATGTATCGCGAGAAGAGAAATGGATCGCGCGCACGCGCGGTAACACGAAGAGAACACAGAGTTGCTCATTTTTCTTTCCTTCCAATGATTTCGTAGGAACGCGCTTTTTGGAGTATACATACACCTGCTTGCCACATGTGCAAGATAACGATTTGTATGTGGATTAAACGTTAAAGTTCTGAGAATAAGGTAGCGATCGATCGGCGAAACGATGATCACAACCGCTCGCGATTATTGAAAATGATACGGCAGAAAGTTTCAATGAAAAACAGATATATATGTATAGAAATCTCACAAGATAGATTTAGGGTAACGCATGCGCTATTACGGAAAAACCTGGGGAAACGGAAACCTGTCCAAGACCCTATTCGTTCGCGTGATTCGTACGACCTCTGGGCGGAACGTGTTGAAAAGAAAGAAACGCAGACAAAAGTGAAATATGGAAGCGATTGTATCGAAAAGAATTGGCAAATTACCGGTTGTTATCGAATGTTACCGAACGTTAATGCGACGCGATCCGCCGAGGAACAACCGAACGAAATGAGAGTTGACGCAAAGCCAAAGAGAGTAAAAGAGAATGAGGAGGAGCAGGAAGAACGAAAAACGGAAGAGAAAGAATTTCCAAAAATCGAAGTTCAATCGGGCAAAAAGGACAAGAATAAGAGCATAGTCATCGAGGAGGAGGAGGGAGAGGAATGAATGTATTTTCGTGTATCGACTTGAGAAAAAAAAAAATTTCAAAAATTTGATCGTAAGTGGTGTTACTCGCGATAAAGAGTTCTCTATGCGTACGCGCTCATTACGTGCTCTTTTTCTTTCTCATACAACATACACACGTGCGCACATTTAACATATGCACACACTTATATAGATAAGCGCATGATCGCACACGTGCGCATATACACACAATACGTAGATAATAAGGTATCGTAATAAGATTGATATTTCACAACGGAGAGGAAATAATGAGATACCTACTTATCGATTATTATAGATGTCATACGTGCGGATTTAAAAATCTACAGGACATTCCGTTGCTCGAATTATTGCATTGTTTACTATGTATATAGTAGATAATTGTCTACTACACACATTGTCTACTAATACTACTACTACTACTACTACTACTACTACTACTACTACTACTACTACTACTACTACTACTACTACTACTACTACTACTACTACTACTACTACTACTACTACTACTACTACTACTACTACTACTACTACTACTACTACTACTACTACTACTACTACTACTAATACTACTAATACTATTACTACTGCTACTACTACTACTACTACTACTACCACTACTACACGCGCACGCACACACTAACACAAACATACATACACACACACAGAAATTTATTGTATAAATTCTGTCGAGAAGCGTCTCCGAGCAAGGGTTGATGTTCCTTAATTTTCTTTTTTTTCGTCGATCTGCGTCGTTTGTCGTTAAACGACGAAATTTGTCCCTCCCACGTGGGAATTCCCGCGGTGTCGATGATTCGAACACGGAGAAGATATGTTGTAATTGAATCGCGTTGACGAGCATCACGGGAGAAGCAAAATCGGTCCGTTAAAAGGGAAACATCGCGATATGGAGAATTTACTTCGAAATTACATTTCCATCATTTTGTACAATGATTCCAAGTGAGATTTTTTTTAAACACAACAACGCGATGAAAAATTACCGAACGTTTCACCGTTACATTTTACGTATTCCTACATTCACACGTGACAATCAATCGAAAGCTTACATCGGTGCTTTTCTCTTTTTTGTCCCCTGCCTTCGTAAGTGAAAAACGAAGAAGGAAGAGAAAGAAAGAAAGGGAGAAAGAGAGAGGAAGGGAAACGGGGATGAAATAGAATTATCGACGATACTGCTGGTACGTAAATCGGGAATAAAGAGGCAAAAAGGAAAAGGAAGAAACGTAGAGAATGAGAACGGAGAAGATGAACAATTGATCTAGATCGGTGTATTCTACGGTGTACACGTACGTGTAACTCGCAAACGTACGTTTACACGTGTTGTGTATCTCTCGGCTACGATAAACGGACTGTATGCACACCTGAAACGACACTGTTAGGCAGAATTGCAATGTTCCTGAAGATGATTTAGCAAAATCGCGCGACGCAACGCGGGGTCAACGCGAAGAATCGCACACACGATCGTAGGAATCGCTCTAACTCGGAGACGTGTCTTAATAGTTGGCCTAGTAACGAGTTTCATATTTTTCACCCCCAACCGCAATGAAATCGTCGAACGATTATCTCGTCTATTATACAATATTATTGACATTATCCACAAATTTTATTGAAATAAACTTTATCGCTACCGTTGAACGTAATAACTATACTTAAAATTATGATGACGACAACTTCGATATTGTTACGGACACCGAATAGTATATATGTACGTGTATATGTATCGTGAAAGGAGAAGGTAGGAACTAAACGAGAGAGGCAAGCGTGAGAGAGAGAGGGAGAGAGAGAGAGAGAGAGCGAGCGAGAGAGAGAGTGAGAGAAAGAAAGAGAGAGAGAGAGAGGGAGTGAGAAAGGGAGTGAGAGAGGGACAACGTGCGTGCGTGCGCGAGCGCGTATGCGCGCGCGCTAGTATGCGTGTTCGCTTGTATGCGAGAGATGTAAAGAAAAGGCGACGAGAGGGGGAGAGGAAATAGAAGGAAGATGAACGGACAAAACCCTCTTTGAGTGTCCGTCAACCCGAAGATTTTAGATGATCGATAGAATTATTATGTATAATTGTAATAAGGGGAAGTACATGTACCTATTATAAAATACGAAATACGGAGCCAAATGGGGACGACAGAGTGGGCTAAAAAGAAGACACGGTTTAAAACGAAACGAGACGAAACGAAGGGGTAGAATGATATATACGCATAACGATGTAACGAGTCTTTCCATATTCTTTTCCTTTCATTGACGCCTGTACACACAATGGGGGATACACTTTGTGTGTGCGCTGGTCGAATCAGAAATAAACCGAAAAAAAAAAAAAGGAAATACACCCTGTACGTATGAATACGGAGACGCAGTGTAAACTAATTGTTTACGTTTTCATCGATTGTATAATTATACGTTAGTAATGAACATTATAATTACGATAATTCCGATGTATTTATCTGTTATTGTTCCTCGGTTATGCGGAAATGTTCAAGAGTGATCCATTTGTACAATCATTGAGTCATTAAAATATGATTATTCAGTATCGAAGAAGCTTCTATTAAAATTACACAATCTGTCTATTTTCCATTCCTTAACCATCGAACGCGCCGTTTTCATCGTTCCGTTTAGTGAAACGTAACGTGACATTCATTTCAAAGTGGTTGTCTCGATCAATAGTATCACCGTGTGTAATGTTTTGCCATCGAAGAAAAGTTCGGTGCCGATAAGACGCAGGTGTGCACGGCTTAAGTAGAATGTCAATGATCAAATCAACGATTATCATCGGAATCACGGGCTCTATATCGAGCCGAACACCCTGTCACGGTACAGGTTTTCTTTTTCGGCGAGTCTCTCTCATTGTTCTACCGCAAGTGTTCATTTTTCCCCGATAAGATGACCAATGATAAAATTTCAAATCGTTTTTTTTTTTTTCAACGAGAACGAACATCCTCAGTCGTCACTTCGAATCATTTCGCGCTGACTCTTCGGTCGAGCAACTTGGCGGAAACTGATTATCAGAGACAGGGTATCTGATACTTATCCAACGATTTATCGATACTTGAATTTACAATAAAACTATTCATCACAACTGTACCATAATTGGTGGAAAAATACACGGACGTGTGTACGCATTCGAGTGTATAGCTTAACGTGGACAATTTGTGAATAAGTGTACCATGCTTGACGAATAATCGATCGACGCGTTGATCTTGGTGAAAAGGTAAGCATAATATGCGTGTATATTCGATATTGAAACCTGTACCTACGTACGATCAGTTGTAGGTGCAACAAATATAGAAAGATTCCTCCTGATCCTCTTCTTACCGAGGACAGATATACACTTACGTGATGATTTGAATTTGAGACAATGCTAAAGATGTAACAGTTACGTACCATGTTACATATGTGAAAAAAGAACGTGAAGCCGAGGAAGAAGAGTAGGCAAAATAGACATTTAGACGACTGCAATTGTAGAAGGAATCGTCCGTTTTGAAATTTTCGCGACAACTCTTTTGCACCATGAAGCGAACCAGGATTATTCCCATTTTGCTAACATTGTGTCACACGTTAACGTTGGTACAATGCGAAGAGTACCGCTGTATATGGTACGGAGGCTGCGGTCTAGCGCCTAATGGTGTAGATCGTACGTGTCTGTCAAACGATCCACCTAAGCTGATCAACAACAAAACAGCCGAGATGATCCTTCGTGAGAAGTGTCCGCAATATTTCGAAGGCATAGGTATGTCTTTACTCTTCGTCCTTTATTTGCTAGTTTGAATTTTACTTGCGTCCCAAAGTGATAGTCACCGATACTGATGAAACTTCGGTATACGATAGAACGTAACTGGACAAAATATTTCACACGTATGTACTTTTTTTTTTATCAACAATCGTCCACATCGAAGGGGTGAAGATCGCGATCAAAGATAAGGGCAACGAACCTATTTCGTCGAAATTATTTATTTTTTCTTTTTCAAATTTGTCGTTGAAGAATACAAAATTCGTCGATTTCCGCTGTTCCTCTGTCTCTAACAGTTTACGAAATATCAAACGAAATATATTTACTATCTCCAACTTCGAAGATAATTTTCACCACCTCACCGCGAACGATTTATCGATATAGAAAATAAACGTCGAGTATTTTTTCCGAAAATTATCGTATACCAAAGTTTCGTCGAAATCGGAGATTATCACTTCAGGATTTTCCCGTGTAAGTGCATACTATGATTTTTCTTTTCTCCTGTTGTTCTCTTCGCCGCTTTCCTCTTACACACCTTCCACGCGCCTCAGATGTTTCAGACTCCAGTGCACCGAAACTATGCTGCGATGTTGATAATATCAAAACATTGGCCGAAAAATTATCCATGGCGGAGAATATTTTCGGCAGATGTCCAACGTGCATTAAGAACGTCTACAAGTTAATATGCGATTTAAGCTGCAGCCCTGAACAAAGTAGATTTTTAAATGTTACAAAAACCGCTTTCAACGAGGAGGGCAAAGAGTACGTCGAAGAACTTGAAGTGAGTTATTTCTAGTATTATTTTAATTAATGCCCAACCAATTTCCTAACTAAAAAACCTTTTTTTTTTTACAAACGCAAGTATAGAACTCCGTCTCTCTTTTCTCTGCGTGTGCGTGTGTGTGTTTCCTTCATTTTTTTAAATAGTAGAGGAGAAGGTCTAAATATGGGCTAGTTGAAGTATTGAATATGTCAAGTGTTTGACCCTATTGAAAATAGGACAAACCTACGAGTTATGAACAAAATAAGTGCTGCGGAGGAGATAGTGACCTAAATTAATTTTTTTACGTGTTGTGTTGCAAAACGTGTCGTTTCTCTTATTTCGTTATTTTAAAACATTCTTCAGGTAGGTTCGTTTTATTGTTTCAGCAATAATCTATTGCACGAAGAGCTAATTAACTAAGAGACGTTGCTGACGTTGTAAGCTCCTTTTTCGTATAAGTTTTGTAACGAATATCATCGCTCTAAGCGTTCCTGACCAAATCATCTAAATATGGGCTTCAAAGCTAGTACCGGCTAATATGGACTAGCAGTGTAACGAATATCATCGCTCTAAGCGTTCCTGACCAAATCATCTAAATATGGGCTTCAAAGCTAGTACCGGCTAATATGGATTAGCAGATATTAGAATTCGGTGACTATGAGAATTGTAATAAGAAAAATACCAAAACATTAAAAAGAAAGATATATAAAATCTTGAATAAGAGATATACGTTTGTGACTATTGCAAACAGATTGTAAATATTGTAAATACTTCTTAGTAAAACCTTTAACGTAAAAACTTTATACTTCAACATAATGTTTCAACCTGAAAATAACATTTCTTACTTTTCATTTCGATTATTTTACGAGTGGCCCGTATTTAGACCGCCTTTCTAAAAATGAAGATTTTCCCTTTTATTTTAAATGTACAATTTGCGACATACAGTGCTTTCGTTTAGCTTACTTCGATCTCGTATCGTATAGTGAACAAGTTATCGATACATATTCAAGTGTTATATCTTAAAAATCGTCCACAGGTTTGACAATAAATCCTGAAATAAAAGTGATAAAATTATTCAAGCGATCGAATAAATAAATTCGATCCATTGTTTCTATTGTTTCAGGTTTACATTGCAGAGGAATACATGACTGATGCTTATGACTCTTGCAAGTATGTCGTTTATCCGCAAACTGGAAATTTAGCTATGGACTTGGCTTGTGGAGTTCACGGCGCCAGTAGATGCACGGCAAAATTGTAAAAGAACTTTTGAAACTATTTGTCTGTAGCCAAACTCGAGATGGTAATCAGGCGTGTAGAATTTTGAAAACAAGTGTCGCAATTACAGGTGGTACGAGTATCAAGGTGATCCGGATGTGAACAATTTCATAAGTTTCCGAATGAAGTTCGTAACGGATAAGCCCTATTGGAACCAGTCGGTGATAACGTGCGACCAAATGTACGATGTAAGTTTGCGTTATCACACTTCTCTCGGTTTCTTCTCTCTGTTATCTCAAATGCTATCGTATATACACATAACAGAGTGTCTAATTTTAATCTGTCCACCCAATTATCTCCCAAAACGTTATTCGAAAACAACTGTTTCAAATAAAACTTGTTCTGTTTCGAGGGGTGCATCTTACGATTACCGCTAGATTTGTTTACCCCGACATTTTTAGGTTGAGTTTGTCTCGGAGAGTGAACTACGAACCTGCTCAAATGGTAACATATAGCGACCCTTCTATTCTCTGCCACCAGAGGGACGGACTAACCACAGGTTCTCGCTAGTCCTCATAAAGGCTCCTATTTGTATATATACACCTTTTCACCTGAGTCATTCCAGTCCTCCTCGCGTCTAAGGCACGGGTCTTCTCAAAAGTTTTACTGATGACGAATCCACTTTAGGAGGCTCAGGACGAAGAAACGTCCTAACCTTTCCTTTTCCGCCTATCCTCCACCAACTTTTCTACTTAGCTTCGACCACCTTGCAATCTCGGAAAACGCCTCCTCATAAATAAATCCAGCGGATCCCCATAAGGACAGAGCCGCTTAACTTTCTTGTTCACGAGCAAATTTCCCCTCCCGAGGTTCCCCCACTATGCGACTGAGAATGCTGTCTCGCTCGAGTTGCGGCGAGGCGGGAAGAGGACACGCGAGGAGTCCTCCTACCAAAACTCCAGCAGCGACTGCCGTTGGTTTATGTTACACATTCTGCGTGTTCGTACCACATAGTGGGGGAACCTCGGGAGGGGAAATTTGTTCGTGAGCAAGAAGTTTAAGTAAGCTGCCATAAGATGTCAAAACAGAACAAGTTTTATTTGAAACATTTTCTCGAATAATGAATAGTTTAGGAGATAATTTGGTGGACAGATTAAAATTACACCCTTTCCTGACCAGTGGGACGCGTATGTCCCACTTAGGTGTTCAAGTAAAAAATTGATCTGAATTTTAGTACCTATTACGTACGTAACGATTGGTAAATAAATAACAAAATCGTAAAGAAAACAATTCGATCGCGAAAGGGTTAAAAAAAAGAACGATATCCTTTCCACAGGGTTTATCAGCGTGCAGTTGCGTCGACTGTCCATCGGCCTGTCCTCTTATGAGATTAGAAACAAAAAGCATTGGGCTAGGAATTATTATTGTCGTAATGATATTTCTAATCGTTTTGTTCATCGCGTCAACTATAATTGTGTGTGTATTGGTAATAAACAGAAGAAAACGAAGATCTTGTTCAGGTATCGTACAAAGTTGCAATTTACACACTGGTTATATTACTAAACTTAATAAACTGTGCCGTTATTTGAAACAATCAAATTCGAGGCTGTGCATTGTAACTCGCTGATCGAACAATTAGCCGTTAAAACGATGCACGCTTGAAGATCAGATAACTTTGTACGCTTAAACTAACGTGCTTGTTGCATAGATAAAACGCCGTTGGAGAGCGCGGAGGAAGAAATTGAAAGTGAAAACGGGAAGCAAGGAATCGATTGCAAAATGTTCCGCGAGATGTTCCAAGCGTTCTTTGCTGTTTGGGGCAAAGGTATGATTTTATCGTCAGATACCGTGTTTCAGTTGACAATAAGTACATTGTATTTCAAGTGTCGCGATACGATTATTATCAATGGGAATAATACAATTATACTAAGCCAGGCACGTGTGTGTTTACACAGCGTTCGCGACACGTCCAACCGTCGTATTGTTCACGTGTTCATATGTAATATTGGGATTAAGCTATGGAATCACGTTTCTTTCCGTAATAAGCAACCCTATAGAAATTTGGGCAGCGCCTACCAGCAGAGCTAGAATCGAGAAGGATTATTTCGATTCTCATTTTCAACCGTTCTACAGAACGGAGCAGATTTATATCAAAGCCGTGGGACTCGATAAGGTATGTAAAGTGCTAACGGCCGAGAACTGTTTTTCGGTATAGACAAGTATGCTTTCATGTTCTATTGTTCTGTCGCAATTAGGTGACGCATGAAACATCGAGTGGAACCCTCGAATTCGGACCTGTGTTCAACAGAGAATTCTTACTGGCTGTATACGATCTTCAAAGTAAAGTAGTACAAGTATGTAAATGTTATCTTCTTGGCCATAAATGCTCACTTCTACTTCTACTTCTACATTGTAAGACGCAAAATCAACAAAACAGACACAATAGGTCCGACAAACCTAAAGTAAAGTCTCTGACGTCACACAGAGCCTAAAAGTGGGAGATGTAGGGGAACTTGCGACGGCTCCCTGTTAGTAAGCCAATAGGGCTAGAATAAGGCTATCGCAGTTACTCTTAGGTCTTCCCTTATAGTCGGCCAGTAGGGATAGAATAAGGCTATCGCACTTACTCTTCTATGAACAATAGATGACGGTCGGGTCTCATTCGAGCAGTCGGTAAACAGATGAGCAGTCGATAATTTACCGGAATGATGTTTTCAAGCGCTCGAAAAAAAATTAAGTTTACGTCGCGCAAACACCATAAACAGGCGAACAGATGCCTGCGCGACGCCAAACGACGTGTATCATGGTAAACTT